ACGGCTAGCCCCGGCGGGCCCAGCAAGCAACAGGTGCAAGGCAGGATACACCCTGCACAGGACTCCAGTCCAAAGTAGGGCACACACAGACACAAACATACACACACTTGTACCTAGGACCAATTTTCCCTGAAGTCAATTAACCGAACATTATGGCTTTGACCTATTAGGAAAAACTGGAGCTCTCAGAGCTCATAAACCCCTGCAAAAAAGGTGAGGACATGTAAATTCCATGCAGATAGCACTCCAGGAATTGAGACCAGGTCCCCAGTGCTGTGAGGCACTTGTTACATTCCAGCTGTAAAATCCAATAAAACTGTGAGAAAAATAAAGCTGTTTTAAAATGTTTGACACATTCTCTACCATGTGGATTAGGTAGGGCAAGTACAACTGTAATGGGCTGCTTCTGAACCAACTCACACTTAGAACAACAGAGGAGCATCTAAGCCAGGGATCTAGGGAGTAGAGAGTAAATATAATCATGTACTGGAAAACTATTTTAAAAAAAGATCATTTTCATACTTACTTCAAGGCACGGTAGCTGTTCCAGTGGCAGAATTAAAGACTGTCAGCCTTGAGGCGGCATCAGAGAGTCCTAATGGAAATGGTTAATTTTACAATGTTCACTTCCCAGAATGGAACAATATTCCAGCACAAGAATTTCAATTAAACAGATTATTGTGTGGAGGATGCTCTGCACTCATTATATGAACATGATTTGAGGTAATTTACTTCAGCTCTGGGGCAGCAAGTAATATTCCTCTCCATGTCAAAGGCATTTGATGTACGCTTGATGAATTCTATTGTGCACGCAACTAGATCATTATAGGTTGATTTGTTCATCTACTTCCTCAATATAAAAGGTAATATACTGTACTGTTAATATTTTGAGATATGTGTGAAAAAAATAAGCATAGCAAAAAAACATTCTTTTAGAAGAAACATTTTATTAAAATACTTTCAAAGCAACAGTAAAATGCTGTTAAAACATGGAGATCGATAATGCTGTTAGGTTTTTCTAGGTTTTTGGTAATGCTATGAAATTTACATTTTACATACACATATTTTCAAAAATGAAATTAAACAAATACAGTACTTTTGTTTTCAATGAGAGTTTCAATGCCTTTTTCAAAAATTTAAAATGCAAACTTTCATAAAGCCTTTAACTATAATTAACGTTAATTGAACGGAATGTTAATTTCTCCAAAGGAAATCTTTTATGCGGTGCCAAAGGAAAAACAAATACAACATGTATTTTCCTGTTCTGTAGTCCTGGAGCTTCAGTTTTCTTTTGTTTTCTGTGCTTTCACTGGCAGATTTCTTAAACATCATTTCTACCATGATTTGTTCCTACAACACAACATTGCAAGTTAATCTCTTTCTGTTTCATAATATAAACATTTTTGAAAAAGTGCGCTTTGTGGAAAGTATGTTATACAATCACAAGAACAAAAATGGAAATGGAAATGCTTAATTTGTGATACAATCACAATACAATACAACAAAGTGAAAATAATGGGAAGAAGTGTTACTGTGGATTAAAGTACAATTAAAATTGACCATTTCTTTAAACTGCAAATAATGATTCTCATTCAATACACTGAATGATAAACCAAATGTACCCATTTAAATCTTAATACCAAATGTCTGAAGTACTAATTCCAATGAATTTCACCAAGACAGTGGTTCCTAACCCTGGTCCTGGGAAACACAATCTCCTGGTTTTTGCTCCAGCTGAGTTTTTAATTACAGGCTAATTGCTTTTGGCTTTCTACTGATATTGTCATATTTGTGCAAGCCAAGGGTTAGATGCCAGCGATCTAACATATTCACCTGAGCCATTACAGTATTTCTTATTCGTCTATTAGGCAAGAGTTTTGAATATCCCATTTTGTGATTTAAGTGTTAGAAAACTGTACAATATTTTTGTTATGACTTTAAAATGGGTGTACAGTGGGTGTTCCAAGTAATCTGAAAATGATTAAATCAATCTTTTGATTCACAGTTTTTCTCCATGGTAATCTCTGTTTCCTCAGTGTTTCAGTATTCTGTGTCTTTGTAAAAGTTTTTTTAGTGCACCCTTTCAATCACCTACTGTACTTATTAATAAAGACTTCATTGCATATTAAGCAGAATCTGTACCAAGAGACACGAGTGGTACTGTAATACTCAGCCATCATCTGGTACTTACTGTGACCATATTGACCAGGTTAACTGAATATGTAGCTTTTAAGACGGGTTCTTGTACACGTTCTACAAACAAAACTGTCCATTCAAAACTGTGGATCACAACACAACATACAGTATTACCAAAATGGCATGTAATTGGAAATCAGACAAGTAATATGTGAAGTATGGATCAGTCGTTCAGGAGAGATGTACAGAGAGATATGACCTTAAGCACTCAAGCACACAACTGACCTTTTAGCATGAGGCCTAATTTTCTACTTGTTTGTTTCCAAACATAGACTTTTTGTTAACCTTTGTAAAATACTCTCTAAAATGTCTTATTTTAAGTAAAATCAAAATTCACAAACTGAGACACCGTTACTTATATTAATATTGCATTATATTTATCATTTTTATTTCTTATTCTAATTTCTAAACTTCTCCTTATGATGCCATCTTCATTAAAACATAAGCAGACAATGAAGCACTAATCAAGGGTTTAAAGATCCCCTCACAGACCCCTCAATAAGGCCACTTGCTTCTCTAAGAGAAATTTGTTCATTCAGTTGATTTCTTTCAAATAACCCCTTCATCCTTGCTCAATGATTAAACCTTGTGTCAAACCTTCACGGGAGATACCTATAATCTAAGTAGCCCGCACAAGAGAAGCAGTCTGTAGTAGCCAGCCTTGGTTGGGTGTTCAGACTGTTGTCTTGATATCAATGACAATGTTGTACATCACCAGCTCTGCGTATTCCTCCCCATTTCCTTTGGCTGGGCTCTTGAGTAACTCTGGTGACTTTGGGTCATGCACGAGAGAAGTCAGTTCCTTCATTAAATCTCCTGTTTTTGGGTTGGAAGTGTTCTGAGTAAAAACAATGAAAAGAGTGAAGAAAGCTAAAAAAGACTTTCTATATTACAGAAAGTATGCAGTTGTCAGTCTGGAACACAGATGAGTTATATAGGCCAAGGTTCATGTTGTTATTAAGGATTAATTTGCATTTTGGAGTCACCTTCAAATATTTTTGGTCCCACTTGGGCTCCCCTTCAGTATCCATAGGTGTGTGCAATAGTGAAAGGGGGAGTTACCCCATGACTATATTTCACTATAAAAAGGGATGCATCCCCCTTTCTCTGTCACTGGAACCCCAACAAGGCCAGCTCAGATACAGTACATCCCTTGTCAGGGCACTTTCACTGCTAGGGCTCTGACACCAGACCTGGTCTGGAAATTATAAATTGAAAAGAGAAAAACAAAACAAAAAGATTACCTTAGCAGTAGAAAGATCTTGTCCAGCTTTTTTGCTGCATGCAAAGCCAAAGACAAATGAAATTATAAGTATTATGTTTTTGTATCATTCCAAACACAAGTATTTTAACAAAGGGCCTTCCTTATCTTCTAATGGTTCTTGTGAATTTGGCACTCTCCTTCTTCAACATCCCTACTCTAATCTTAATCATGACAATGCAATGTAGAAAATATCTTATTTCAGTTTGAAAAAGAAATTGATAAGGATGTGGAAAAGGGCAACTGAACTTAATCTTTCACAGAAACTGTCTGGGAAAGGATAGACAGGCTCTGAAGATGTGCTTTTCTGAATGAGTATGTGTCTGTGTGGTGGCTGGGCACACACTCAGCAAATGACCATGCTCATTTAACCTGGCTCACAATCAGCATTCAGAATCATGTGCTCAGGGGCAACAATTAAATACTTCCTCCTTTACCTACAATGTTCTTGACATGCGACTATCATATTTTATAAGAGTACATGTGGAAGGTACAGTATTTGACCTAATAAAGCTGCATATCTTCCCCTCATACAGTGACTTTATTTAAGAACTCTCCCTTAACGTTTTTCCATTTTACTGATTCCTTCACTAGCAGCAAACACTTGTTTGTACCTTGACCACAGCGCATTCTCACAAAAGTTACCTTGGCAACCGTATTTTTTATTTCAGTAAAAAAAAAGTCTCAGTCTTTGGAATGCAACACAAAAGTAGCAGAGAATAAATACAGCCTGCTGGCTGTTGAGATATCAAAAGGCCATTTTCACTCACAGTTTTAATGCCATTCTGCACACCTCTGAATGCAGCTATTCAAGACAGGGGACTCTCTGGAATGTGAAAAGTACCAAAGTCTGTGCAAATTTCTACAAAAACCTCTGTGCCATATTGCATATCTGGTTAAAATTAAAATATGATTGATCTGAATGTGGGCATCTCAAGGCCCTGGGTTTAATTTCATCCTTGGGGCACCTATCTGACTGGAGTTTGCATGTTCTCTCAATATTTGCAAGGGTTTCCTCCAGGTGCTCCAGTTTTCTTCCACAGTTCAAAAACATGCTTGTAAGTTAATTGGCTTCTGGGAAAACTGGCCCAATGTACTGTAAGTGTTTGTGCCTTTGTGTGCCATTCAAATGGACTGGTGTCCTGTCCAGGGTGTATCACACCTTGCACACATTGCTTGCCAGGATGTGACCCTGAATTTGATGAAGATCTTAGAAAATGGAAGAATGATGGATGATGGGAATGCAAATGTTTGAAAAGAAATATTTGGAGCAAAGGAAAGTACTAATAACAGTTATCAAAACTAAGATGCTAGACTCTGGATCTTGGGGGTCCAAGCAGTTTATTAAGTTCAATTGAATTACTTTGTCAGGAAGAGCTGTAGAACATGTACTTTCCTTGAGCCCCTGGGGATGAATTGAAGGTGGCACAGAAAAGTGTGGGCTGTGGGGATTGTGTGGGTAAGAAGGAACTGGCACTGCCAATGCTGTAAATCTGTGCCGGGCCAAATTTCCAGCTGGACTATTTTTCATTTAGTAGAAAAGGCAGAAGAATTGAAAAATTATTTAAAAACAAAACTTCTTCATGAATGTCTTGTGAGATTACCAAAATGTTATTAAAGCAGGAATTAAACTGAGGAATATTCAGCAATGTCTTTCTCAGTGCTATTTGTGCTGCATTTCTTTTGCATCATCAATACCTTTCAATTCTTGCACAACTTATAACAGATCTTCTGGTTTTCATTCTATCGACTTCTTAATGAGGTAATTTAACAATTTTCCTTTTTACTCTTTTCACTTTTTCAGGTTTAAATCAGGCGGTGATATAATCAGGCTTGTAAACCCTGCTGTTTTGTGACCCTGGGTAACACTGATACCCACTCTGTGTTGCTTGTGCGTGCTGTTCAGTCCACTGATTGTTGGAGTGTGGTACCTTCAGTGAGTGATACTGCAGTTATACCATGAGTCATCCCGGGGGGGGGGCAGTATTGACTGAAACACTAGTGACAAAGTCTAAGTGGCTGTTAGATTCTGAATGTTAATGCAGCTCAATTTCAACAAGACATTAATCTCCTTTCTAAGTGGCCAGACAAAACATTATCAGGCTCATTACATCCATGTCTTGCCATTTGCGTTCGCACACATGCCGTCAATCACAGCAGCTGCCCATACGATGGAAACTCCACTCCGAGGCTAATGCGAAAGCAGCTCATCCCTTGGGAAAACCGAGCTTCCATTTCACAGTCAACTCCAATCACATTAGCCAATAGATTATTTCTCTTCCACCTTGTGGCAACACGTCGGCACAAAGGCAGCCTGGCTCAGCTTGATTTCAGTTTAATAAACCTTCAACACCAAATCAGTACACACACAAGACTTTGTACAGCTCCATTAGATAGCATTTATTTGCCTAAGGTTAACAGGTGGAGAGTGATCGAGTGTCTTACAAGATATTATCTTATTTACACTCATGCACATTCACCATTAGTTACATATATACTCGTATCACGCATTCTGCACTTGAACAACGGAAGTCAGTTTATTCAGACAGCACAGAAGAAGTAAGATACTAAGTGGGTTGTTAAAACCTGGAGTCTTCTAGGATACTGTGGATCTGATGCCCAACAAAATCAATTGGTAAATTCTGGAGTGGCTGCAACAGGTGCAACAGTACACAAACCACTGTGTTTGAATTCAACCAACAGAAGACAACAATTTTGCGCCTCCACCTCATTAGATTAATTTGGATAGCTCAGTACTTTCTGTGTCTGGCACAAATTGTAGGCTTATCTTAATGCCTGGTGAGGAGATGGAGTAATTAAGAAGCACAGGTGTGCAGTGCCTATCACATGGCAAGTATTTGATACACTGCTTGATAAATGTGCATACAGTATACCAGGGAGTGATGGTGTCCTGTGGGAACCCTAACAACACACCTGCTGTGCTTCAGACGGTTCTGGAATAGACATTTATATTTGAACTGATGTTATTTTTTGTAAGAATCAAGGGCTTCAGAAGAGAGAGGCTCAGATTTTGAATTTGGCAAATTTGTTAATTAACAGATCTTCACTCTCACACCTCCTCAATATTTGAAAATGTTAATTGCACCATGAAGCATGCTGTATTTCTGCTGCTGATTTGTAAGTATGTTTGCTGTTCCTTGTTTTTTATAATACCATTATCACTGTATTAGACTACAACAGAAATTATTTTTTGGCCTTCTGCTTTGGTAAAATGGTCAACGTCCGCAAAGTATTAAAAACCTTCCAATCACTCCAATCTGTTATACATGTTACTGCACATGGATACTTTAAAATATACACAGCCCATACATAAATCACATATTATTAAAAACCCGATGCCTTTAAATTCTATGACTAGATGTTCATTTAATATTTATCTCACTACTGTACTTCAATGAGTCACCATGTAAATGAATGCAGTGGACATTCATTCATAACCGGGTGTGGGCAGCACGGCAATGCAGTGGATAGCATTGCTACCTTGTAGTTCTGAGGCCCGGTGTCCAAATACCCAATTTCTATCTGTTTTGTGTTTGTGTGTTCTCCCTGTGGTCATGTGGGTTTTCTCCAGGAGTGTGTGTGTGTGTGTCTGTGTGTGGGTGTGATTACTCCAGAGTATATCCTGCCTTGTGCCTGTTGTTTACCAGATTAGGCTTCAACTTTAATCCTGTAATGGGTAAATGAATGGATGATTTATACTGTTCCTCTGATGCATTGGATTACCCAATAGTCTATAATCAGAATAATCAGAAGTCACTGCCATTCATTTTTCTATAAATATGGTTCATGTGGGTGAAATGCTAATGGAACAACACCTGCCTGTTATACATGTACAATATTTTCAGAACCTCAGGGAGTAATAAAATCTGCACTATGTGAAATTAGTGTGGTCACTGACTTTGACACTGACACTGTAGTTTCATCAGAGAAATGCCCACTAATGTGTTACAGAGGAGTGAAAAAGCATATTTGTCTTATGAGGACACAGCACTTATTTTACAAATTATATTGTAAGTGTCCTGAGATTTTCACCTATAGTGCATTTACTTTTAAGTAAAACTGATATTGTAGTTAAAAGTCTAAAAGTGTTGAATAGTTTGATACTGTAGTTAAGAGAGTGAGATATGAAATCTGTGTTGAGTAGCTTGGAGAGTGATTTAAAAGTCTAAAAAGTAGTTGAAAGTCTAAAAGTGTTGAGTAGTTTTATACTGTAGTTAAGAGAGTGAGATATAAAATCTGTATTGAGTAGCTTGGAGAGTGATTTGTGAAATTTGTAATGAATAGTGTTTGATATTGTAATTAAAAGTATGAGATGTAAAATGTGTATATGTTGAATAGTGTTTGATGTTGCAGATATGAGAGTGAGATACTGTATGAAATGTTTGTGTTGAATAGTGTTTGATACTGCAGAAAAGAGAGTGAGATATGAAATGTGTTCATGTTGAGTAGCATGTGATATTGCAGATAAGAGAGTGAGATATGAAATGTGTATGTTTGGTAAAGTAGTGCTTGATATTGCAGATAAGAGTGAAATGTGAAATTTTGTTTGTGTTGCGTAGTACTAGAGTGAAAGAGGCAGAGGCCTGACCACAATGCAAGTCTGAAAACCACGTTCACAAAGTGCATGACTGATTCACACTTGTAAGTTTTGAGCTAAGACATTGACCAAAATAGATTCAGATCACTCATGATATCAAAAGACTGGGTGTTTTTTGTTCATACAGAACGTCTAATCCAAGAGCATTGTCTTTAATTTCATATTGCAGAATGTTTAACTGATTCACCTTTAATTTCACCTTTCACAAAGCTCCACACAAAGGGTGCTCAATCTTGGGCATAGAAGGCCACTGTCCAGTGGACTCAGAGGTCATCTTCAGTGTTAGGAAATTAAGGAAATGTTATTTGCTGATCAATTTAGAAGTAATCTATTATGTACAGTATATAGAAATATGATTGAAACCCTCTAAATCATTACTAAAAAGGTGGTCATCTCTGGTCTTATGTTTTATAACTATGCAGTGTTTCTTTATTTGTATTCCTTGAAACAGATGTTTTAAGTGTGATCCTTAAATTATGCAGGGGTGTGTCCCTCCCAAAACACTGCTGGTCACATGTGTTTTTTCAATTACAGGGCTCTTAATAATTTAAGAATTACATAAAAATCAAATACTCAAATAGGGACATACAACTACTATGTTTTATTCTTTTTCAAGGAATTCTAGCTCTCTACAATACAGAAAATTTGACCATGTTGTTAGTAGTTTTGCTTTTCAAATGGACATTGACAAAATCACAACATCAGTTTCCTCCTACACAGATGTGTCACACACCTTACACATTTATGAGACAAGGGTTCTCTTTGACTGCAATTTTACAATGTTTTGAGAGTGGACTTCAGGCTCACAGCATACATTCTGTATGGTTTTCACCTTGTAACCCTCTTCTGCCTCTCCCACCCTGAATCTAATCTCTCAGTGGACCTTGAAGTGGGACATGTATATACTGTATCTCACTTATCCAGCATCACAAACACCACTTAAGCACATTGTGAGAGGTGTTGATGGGTATCTGTTAATTTAGCCTTCACCAAAAGTTACGCTAAGATGCCATAAAGCTGACTTGCTTTAGCAACCCCAGTGACAACACTACATAACAAAAGACAAGAACAACTACCACAAACAGGATAAAGCAGACCAATGTCTGCTGCATATCAAAGGACAGAACCTAGAGGAAGACAGAGTAGGACAAGAGGTAATTACATATCAAAGAACATGACAAACACTCAGATCATGAAACAAACTTTCTTCTGACTGTATATAAGAGCTGGGAAACCCTTGCAGTTTCTCATTTCTGTGGGGCAGACCCAGCGCGTGTTGTCGGACTAATTGAGCTGAATAAAACTGAATCTGCATAAGACTGTGTCTTTCTCCTCTGATGAAGAATTTCCCACAACAACCTCAAAAGGATCCTTTTTAAACAGAATACTGGACTAAGTTTCATCCTTTTATCTAAATGCTTGATTAATAGCACAGACTTAACAGATTCATTAAAGATGGAGTAAAAACGAGAGAAATTTCAACACTACTGATGGACCCCAGTTGCTTCACTTCCTGTCAATCCTATGCCAAACATCTGGAGACTCCAACAGGACCCACCTTGGCAAAGCAGTGTGATGGTTTCATGTTTGCAATGATGACCTTGCACTATAAACTCAGGATTAGTGAAAAGAGAGAAGAAGATCCCCAATGGCTCAGGATTAGTGAAAAGAGAGAAGAAGATCCCCAATGGCTCATGGTTTGGGAAGCGCAGCACAAATGTGAAACAAAAAAATAAAATCGCCTCTTTGCAATTCAGGACTACTTCAAGAGTGACCACAAACTTGACATGTCCTTACTGAGTGAGTGATGAACAATTGTCCTTTGTGAATAAAATACAAGAGAAAACATGAAATATAAAATAAATCCTTCCAGGCACTGTACAGTACTGAAATTTGTCTTTATTACTAATTGAATGATCATTTATACTGTAGTCGCTACAGTACGTGACTCTCCTACCCTCAGTCTTTCCTGTTTATGAATTGTAGTCTATATGGGTTAAAGATGGAGCTGATAAGGGTTTCCTGTTTATCTGAACACTGGCAGAACCTTTACTACTCTGGTGTACCTGGCACCTTTGCGGTAGATTTGATTTCTAACTCACCAGAGGATGAGCAGAAACAGAGAGACAATGATGACGAGAGCAGCCGCTGAGGAGACCAAGATCAAGATGTACTTCCCTGCAAAATGTCAACAACAAAAAAAGGCAATTTTACTCACATAAATCTGGAGCTTTGTTATCTAGGTATACAGGACCTTTTCTGTTTTATCATCACCATGACCAAGAGTATAATTTGAGTCTAATGAAAATGAAGAGTTTTCCATAAACATAATAAATGTTCTTGGCAAAAAACATAGATGTGTGGTAAAAGTCTTATATTATAAAGTCTTATATAACAAAGCCAACAACTCACAGAACAGCATGTCTTCTGATGCAATTTCCACTTCAATCCGTACAGATGCTCTGTGATTGTGGTATGCAGCCTCACAGATGTACAGTCCGGCCTGCTCTTTTGTGACTTCTCCCTCGAAGATAAGGGTGTCCCCCACGACTTTCTGCTTGGCAGAGCTGCCATCCCTATATTTTACATACAGTAGCATTGAAAATAAGAACCACCAGAGAGTGAAAGACATTTTAAAATGAAATACAGGCTCACTTCTCCTCAAATTATCAAAGTTTTCCATCATTAAAGCAAGGGCATGTACAACATACATGGTTGGGTTGGGAGAATCGAATTTGGGAATTCTGCAATAAAGAGGCACCCGAGAGATCATTGAACCATGCAACGTATTAAGCTGGAAAGTTAACACTCCCAACAAAACTGAAGCTCAGAATACAGAGCAAGCTGAAAATAGAAGACAGACCCAAAAAGAAGCTGTGCGCATTAATTTGAAGTGTCTTTTTGGGGAGGAAGTTAAAACAATAGTGACTAGAGTGACTAAAATTTAAGAACTATACGAATAAGTATTGATTACTGATCAAAACTTTCTAAGATTTTTACACTATTCAAGATTAATTTGTTTTTCCTAATGAAAGACAAAGCTGTTTTGTACTATTAGTATATATTGTAATAGACTGCACTAAAATTTTGTAAATTCAAAAATTCCTTAATACTTTATTTGAACTTCCACTTTTGAAACTGTTTTTTATGCAGGGATGTTTTGTTAAAGCCATGTACTGTTATTACGTTATTATGGCTGGGGTGGTAACAGTAACATTTAGTTTGTCAAAAACGTTTTTACCTGGATGTTGGAGTATAATGCCCTTGGCAAGATTATAATTGAAGTAAAAGACTTGGACATTGTAAGTGAACAATTTATACAGTTCATTCATTTGAACCAACTGTAAGTGAACATGTAGGACTCATTCTTAAATGAGACAAGATCAATGTGTTCTGTTAATTTTTAACTCCTTACAGAAGGAGGCGAAGCTGGGAAGGAGAAATAAACTCCCAGTATTTGAAAATACTGTTTGGGATTCCTTTTGCTAAAGCTTTTTAATTGCCACCAAATGAAAAGAGCACACAAATAAATAAATAATACAAAACACACCTGATTCTGAGGTGCCTAATAATTTCATTGTTGCTAATGATAGTTTCATGACAAGCTATTTAATAGAGTCCCTAGCTACAAGCATTTTTAAAACAATAAATACATGCAGCTGTGTAAGATGTGTCCAACGTAATTTATTTCTAGTGTATGAAGTTAAAAGGTTTATTGGTTTTGAATGAATTGCATTCATTACCAGAGGCTGCTCGAATCTTAAGTGAAATTAATTTTGTGGTTACAGCTCAAAGCCTCAGGCACTGAAATCTTCATTGGCAGAGCTGTGCTGATGTCAGATGTTGTTTAGTTTGATACCACGTGATAGACATTATGTTGCTTTCACTCAAGTCAATAAAATTAAACTAAACATTTAAGATTTTTTATTCATCCAGCCCTCATAGGTCTGAAGCTAGAAGCAAAGGTTTTTCTGTGAGTTTAAGAATGTGAAGAACGTTATGCTCCAAAAGTGGTATCCCTGAACTCAATTGAAAAACTGTTCACTTTGAGAACAAGACACTTTCTGATGTTTATGATACACTACCACAAAGATTCACTTTGACATTACTTCAGATAGATCCCTTATTTTGACCCTGCATAAACCAGACCCTATGCAAACTGAATCCATGCGATTTTTGCTTTTACTGACACTAAATAAATGGAATATTTGAGGACGACTCACAAGCTAGAGGAGCAATTGCACAAAGGCCTATTCAATTCCATCTGACATACTTTGGTGCATATTGCAAAATGCGACTGTGGGATAGCAGGAATGTGACATAATTCAATGGAGTATATATATGTTGAGTGTGTTTTGAATGAGAGGTGAAATTTGCAAAATATGTTTAAATAGGGCTGCTTTAAAAATGACATCAAAAATAATTTTGTACTTAGCACGGCAAGAGTATGTGAAATATTTGTTTTTAGTAGAACTCATGATTAATTTTCATTTGCATTTAGAATCTTGACAGGCTAAATATGAATGATTAGTGATATTAAATCACTTTACTGCTACAGCACATTAGTATAGGAGAGTTCTGCACAGTGATAAGGCTCAGCCTGTATTATCTTTTTAAAGCCAGTAAAGTACTGACATGGAAATATTCAAATTACATTACAGGTGTATGGTATATTTAATTTGTTTTGTTGTTCTTTAAAGAAAACGAGATGATCAATGGATCAACAAGATTCATCCCAAGCCCAGGCCTGAATTGTAATGCAATGAAGAAGCATCTCTGAGCTCTTTTAGTTATTTGCTTTTCTCATGGTAGTCAAACAAATGGCATGAGCTTACCTGGTGCAGCATAACTGATAGGTTGTCACATTCCCATTTACTTTTAGTACAACTTTTTGGTTCTGTTGGCCTGTCTTCAACATGATTCTGTAATCAGCAGAATCTGCACCATGAATACTGGGAAATGTTGTGCTTTTATTTAATACTTTGATGGATGAAATGTCTGTGCAAATAACACATAAAAATAACACTGGTTATTGGCAGTAATAAAAAACACCTGTAATCTGTGTGACATACTGGCACATCCATATTAATAGCTTCATAACTCTTACACATTAAGTGTATAAGTAGTTTGAGTTTTTTTGTTGCATGTTGTCAGTTAGGAGGGCATGATGTGAGGAAACCTTAAAAAGAAAAAAATAATTTGACATACAGTAGGTAAGGTGTACTCACAGTATTGGGGAACACTTATGGCTCTTCTCTCAGCAGAAAGGTGCTCTCCTTGTTCTACCTGACAGGTCAGATTCTGCCCTTCATGTAATGCGAAGGGAAACTCATAGGTACTGCTGGCTTTGATCATTCCATTCTCACACGTAGATGTGAAGCTCACGTCACCTGTGTTGTTCCCTGGCAGGAGCCAAGTAATGTTCACATCCAGACTCCCGACATACTCGCATATAGCTAGCATTCGTGGTGTGTTTTTCAGGGTGAGCAAAAAGACTTTAATTGCCGGGGAAGCTGAAGATAAAAATTCAGGGAGTTATTGAAACCTGAACAGAAAACTTAGGGTACACTTTAGGATTTAGGGTGCAGACATGTACTGTATGAGTGGAGGAGTTTAAAGAGTATAATGTTAAATACAAATATGTGTTAAATACAAAGGCACTGAACTAATATTCTTCAATTCCTAAACCAAAAGCTCTGTTTGAAACAAAGTGCTCCTGTGAACTATTTAGAATTTCTCTTGTACCATAGACTAGGACTAGCTAAAGCCTCTTTATGATATTAGCAGAAAAGGGTTAATTGTAACGGTAACCTATATTAAATAATGAAATACCTCATTCTTTGTGAATGTGTTTAGCAATTATTATATTGATTATGATCTTGATTGTGTATTGATTGTGATTGCTGTACACTTAATTTTGTCTGTCTTGGTACAGTGTAGCTGCCCCCATGTCCAGATATGCATCCTACTGTATATAGCACAGCATTTTATGAGATAATTCCATCAACCCCTTAAAAGGACAGGAGCAACCTCAGCAAATTTCCAGTTTTAAGGTGTACTATATCAAAAGAGCTGAAGGTATATTCCTGTCTTATTGCATAAAATTGTAGTGGAGCAGTCTTCCTTTTATTTACATAATTTGTATAATTTCTCTGCGTGTGAAGCACCAGTCACAGATAACAAAAGATTCATATTCTGAATTGATGACACTTTATGCAAGTTTATACCAGTGATTTCTGCTTACTTGTTGATGGTAGGCGTATCGTTCTTCTTTCTACAGTAAGAAGGGCAGGGTGCTCTACCACACAGACTATATCTTGTCCAGAGAGTAAGTGTGTGGGAACGCGAAAGGTGCTGCTGACTGTCTCTGTGCCATTCTGATGAGTGACGTGTCCTGTTCTGAATTCTTCGGTGCTGTTCTTCACCTGAGTCCAGGAGATATTGGCAGCTGGTTTGCTGGTAATTGCTATGCACTCCACAGTTGTGTACTCTCTTCCTTTTTCACAAGCTTTACCGGTCTGTACAGTAATATAGGGGGCAACTTCAAAGAGAAACATACATAAAGTAATCTCAGCAGTAACAGACAACTCAAAACAGAAAGCTACATACACCAGTTTAACTAGACATGCTTTACTACTTTTTTTAAACTGATAAGCCTTTATTTATGTCAGATTCAAGCTCTTTCCAATCATTACTGGACATGACCACTTCCTTTTTTCCCCAATACACCTTGTCTGTTTTCTTTCCAAGGCATTTGTGATATTGTTTAGTTAAATATTGTCACCTGCAGTGTTATGAGACATTTGTCACGTCCCCCACAAGCCAAAACTGACATAGTTCACTTATAGGTTTGAGTACACAATAGCCACAGTCCAAACCACACATCGCCTGCTACACTAATTGTACGTTAAGCTTGAGGTGTGAAAACCAAATGTCAGGCAATTTAACTTTTCTACATACTGCATTCATGTCACATGACCAGAAAAAAGGTACAGTGTAGTTTAATGATAGGATAAAGTTTTTTGGGAAAAAAAAGCATTATTCAAATATTTACAAAATTAAAAAATATATTTGTGATAGGAGGTGTGATTGTTGGTTTGTACTCACAGCATGGGGGAACAGTGATATTTCTCATCTCTTTCTGTTTGAGGGCTGGGTGCTCGATCTCACATGTGATGGTGTGCTCCTTGTGCAAGCATGCTGGGATCTGAAGAAACGCCTTTACTGACTGCGTTCCGTTGTTGTCCGTGCTATTGTATGAGACGTGGCCAGTGAGGCTGTCTGGTAGCAGCCAAGAGATGTTGGCTGCCGGAATGCTGTTCAGGGCTGAACACTCAATTACTTTGTGATCCGTCCTGTCTGACATCACAGTCCAGATGCTGGGAGGTACTATAACCGAGGGAGGAAAAATTATTATAAATACAAACAAAATAAACATCTGCTATCATAAGAGCCTTTGTCATACAGTTTGTATCTACCAAGGACTTTTAGACAGATAACCAACTACAGAACAATTTCTACTGAAGCTAAAATTGGCATCGTCTTCTTTATTATCATATTTTAGCTCACATGACTGCTTAGACATCATTAAAAAACAAACTTATGTCTGATGGCAGGTGTGACTGTTGGTTTGTACTCACAGCATGGGGGAACAGTGATATTTCTCATCTCTTTCTGCTTGAGGGCTGGGTGCTCGATCTCACATGTGATGGTGTGCTCCTTGTGCAAGCATGCTGGGATCTGAAGAAATGCCTTTACTGACTGCGTTCCATTGTTGTCCATGCTGTTGTACGATACGTGGCCAGTGAGGCTGTCTGGCAGCAGCCAAGAGATGTTAGCTGCAGGAATGCTGTTCAGGGCTGAACACTCAATTACTTTGTGATCAGTTCTGTCTGACATCACAGCCCAGATGCTAGGAGGTACTGTAACCAAGGGAGGAAAAAATGCCTTTAAATGTAAATTAAATAAATGACTGCTATCGTAAGAGTTTGTGTCATACTGTATGTAGCTACCAAGGACTTTTAGACAGATTACCAAATGCATAGTTTCTTCTGAAGCTAAAATTGTAGCTGAAAGTACTTGTTTAGGCTGTTTGCCTTTGAAGTGTAGTGTGAATACCAAAGCTGATTATACAGGGGCCTGACAGGATCACTTCTTCTTCAGGAAGATAAAGACATGAGATGGCAAAAGAAAGCAAGGCATACAGTATGTAAATAATATAGCATTATACAGAACGTAAAAGATTTATAAATCAGCAAACAAAAGAATGAACAAACAAAATGATTCACTCAAACAGCAGAATGGAGCTGATGTTTGAGAGGAAAAGACCAACTTTCCTGAGAAAACAAAACTCTTATTGAACCCTTATGGGGTACTTGTGACGTCTGCGTGTTACTTGTTGTAAGGGTTAAGTGATGTAATGATACATTTATTATTATATGTACAACTAACCTTTGGAATCAGATTTGGAAAAAAAAGAAAGATTGTGTCAAAAACAACAGTGACAGGAAGTTAAATACCTGGCTGGAATGAAGTAACCTCTATTTCCAACTGAACAGATACTCGATGGTTGTAGTAAGTAGCCTGACACCTGTAAATTCCTGCATGGTTCTTCCCCACAGGTCCCCTAATCCACAGAGTGCTGTTCCCCACTTCCATGTCTGTAGGAAAAGAACTGTTTTCTCTAGGGGAAAAAAGAACACAAATTGTGTTACCCTAATGGATCTTCTGAATTAGAGGAACCAGAGAATGGGCACAGGAAATTCCGGAGGATATATAATTACAATTATGTTATAAACATTGACAAGCAATTTGTTTCACTTATGGACATCAACTATTGGAAAAGATGTTTAATGATTAATTACATGTCAGTGCAGTGTCTTGTGTCCATACAGTATGTTAGCTAATATACAAAATTAGAAAGTGTCCAATGCATGTTGTTTCCCAAGCCTGGGTAGCCATTTAAGCTTCTTCAAATATGTTGTCCTAATTATCTCCCCCCCCCCCCCCCCCCGATAAAATATTTTACAGAAAACAATGAGCAGCTGAACCCTCAAATATTGTATAAATATTTTTGTAACTTCAGACAATTCTGTCTACAGTTTGTTCATTAAAAACACATATAAATGCATGATTATTTTGAGTATTTTCAATAATTATTATATATAATAATGTCATAAAGATATATAAATTTGAAAAGTGCAATTGGTGGTCAAAGAAACATTTAGATTTATAGAAATATAATACGGTATAATTTGAAAAAGAAGCTTAACTAGCCATGCCATTGAGCTTTTTTGTATGTGCTTAGATGTGTTTTTAAGACCCAATATCTTTCAATCAGCAACAGTTTTAACCAAACTACATTAAAACCACTTTCAGCATTAATCAGGGTTATGCATTTGGGTCAAATTAATTTCAAGGCAGTCTGACAATTTATGTTGGTAATTGGGAATTAAGTAAAATTATTTTTTAAGTTTAAAAACACATTAAGCAAGCAGTGCCAAATAGGACAAACAGCATGTTTTATACAGTTAAATTAGTGTATTTTCATACAGTGGTCTATTTCCATCTGGAAAAGTAATGCTGCATGGCACAAAATGTTTTCAATCCTCCTCTGGAAACAAGGACAAGTGTTTTTTTTCTATTGTTTTGTGAGCGTTAATTTGAAGATAAGATCACTTGGTGTTTACAGGAAGGGACGGTGAAAGGATGGGGTTCACAAGAGATAACAGATGAGTGTACAAGGGAAGAGCAGATCCTTATCTCTTACTTCTGTTTTTTTTTATTTTTCAGCACAGAACGGTCATTTTCTATGTCATGACAAGGTGATAAGTAAATCTGATGTGCAGCACAAGAATCCAAGCTAACAGATAGAACAGATTCCTCCAAATGTTGTCAGAAAACAGTTAATTCCTGCTAAGTGTCTCAGTTAACCTCCCAGAAGGACTGGGCACAAGTGAGGGGCCACACCCTGGGTTGGAAACCAGTTCATTGTAGGGAGCACACACACAAACACACACAGGACAGACTGGAAAAAGCAACTCACAAAGGAAACCCATGGAAACCCAGGGAGAACATGCAGACTCTAGTTAGTCTTAACTAACCATTTTAATTACTTTGAAAAGGTGCAAATAAAAAAAAAACATTCATAGCACAGCGTTCCAGTGTTAGACACCATAGCTATAAAAATGAGAAATAATAATAATAAACTTCATTTTATAAAGCACTTTTAAAGGTGGCTTCTCAATGCACTTTACAGAATGACAACAACGATAAATAAAAAGAATACACAAGATAAAACACAATATACAATATACAGAGGAGACCATGGATGGTGGTACCAAGAAAAGCAGAGGGATGAAAAATGGAACCAGTTACTGTAAGTAAAGGATCTTCTAAAGAAGAAGGTTTTGAGTCTGGATTTGAAGGAGTTTAGAGAAGGTGACTTTCTAATATCCTTGGGCAGAGAGTTCCAGAGCTTGGGGGCATAACAGGAGAAGGCCTTTTAACCCATACAATGTAGACGGGCTTGGGGGACAGTTAGGAGACCAGAATTAGAAAAGCAAAGTTTGCGAGGTGGGGAGTAGGGTGATAATAGTTCAGACAGGTACTGAGGAACCAAGCTATGCAGAGCCTTATAGGTGAGCATGAGGATTTTAAATGGAATTTGACAGGAAGCCAGTGCAAGGACTTCAGGATAGGAGTAATGTGATCACTTGCACTAGACCTGGTCAGGATTCTAGCTGCTGAATTTTGGACATACTGCAGTTTGTTCAAAGTAGATTTAAATACCCCAGCGAGAAGAGCATTACAGCAGTAGTCAATTCGAGAAAACACTAATGTGTTGATCAGCTTTTCGGCCAAAGGTACAGTAGCGATAGCACAGGGAGTAGTTTAGTGATATTTCTGAGGTGAAAAAAAAGATGTTTTGAAAATATGCTTCATATTTCACAAGTTAATTGGAATAACTTTGCAAATGCCTTTGATGTATTTGAAATAATAATTAAAGTCCACGTCTTGCAACACAGCAATATTTATTTCTCTGTTGCAATAAAAAAGCACACTCAAAATATTCTAGAGAAGTTCTTATTTGTGCGTCTACAATTGTAATGTAACATGCCTTGATTTACAGTATATTCTATGTTTTTAATGTCCCGGCAAACAAAAGGCACAGGGCGGGATATTCCCTGCACATTATGCTAGTCCATGACAAAACACAGACACAAACATGCACACTCTCACACTTGGGACAATTTTCCCACAAGTCAATTAACTATGGGTTCAATTACTAGGATACTATCTGCATGGAATTTGTATTGTTCTTCCCATGTTTGTGTGATTTTCCTCATGGTGCACTGACTTCCTCCCACACCCCAAATATATACAGATAGGTTAATGGGTATCTGTGAACATTGCCTATGGAGTAAGTGTGTGCATGTCTGTGTCTTTGTGTGTGCCCTGTGATGGACTGGGATCCTGTCAGAGATGTATCCTGTCTCATGCCTGTATCCTGCATACAGGCATGAGACATAGGAATAGGCTTCAGCTCCTCCACTGTCCTGAATTGGAAAAAGCAGTTTGAAATGTAATTATAATAATAGTCCTCACTTGATGCACTTCACTTCATAATGTGGAACGTTCCCAGACACTTCCAGTACAATGCTCTGGTTGTACTGGCCTGTTTCTAGCAGCACTCTCCTCAAGGCCTGTATCCCCATGTCCACTGTTCTGTCTGTCCTCTCCCCATTCAGAACATGTATGGAGGACAGGTCTGTAAGGGTGAGATTAGGAATATCAGAATATGTCAAGGTTGTCATGGACATCCCGGGAAAAATTCACAGTTCTGTAGAAATATTAATTTCACAATTCAACCTCTAATGAATGTACGCCAACTGTTTCTTTTGTCCTACTGTATGTTATTTGGTGTTTGCAGATTGACGTAGGTTGAATGAACTTTTAAAAGCTGAAGAGTGCTGCTTCAAAAGCAAGCGTGTGTATGATGTGCTTTGAACTGCAAACAGCTCACTGGAGAAAAAAAGCTTTTGAAACTGTGTTTTAATTAAGGTCAAAGGAGACTGAACCTCTTAATATGTATTTTCTGCAAAGGTTGATTAAAAATTGAAACTGGTTTTCAAGTCTTTATCATGACTAATTAATTAGTATACATGTACATAAAGTCACGTTGACTCTTAATATTTAATTTAGCCACATATACAGTAGTATAACATATTAAATCACAGTGGTGTAACAGAGACTGGGGTCAAATACGTCTATGCCTGTCCTCATTTTTACAGTTCATTAAGAGGGATTTGGTGATTCCTCTACTAACCTTTAGTATTCCTCAAAGTTTTGAAACATCTATGTATTTACAATTGTTCAATCACCTACACCAAAATCATATGAAAAGTTAAAATTGGTACTATAAGGAAATGTTAAAGCTTAAACTTTAAAAGCAGCTAATGCCCTTTGTCTCAGAACATGGAGTAAACGTGCAAACGTCTCGCAGAAGGATCTTCAAGTCAGAACTGAACTCAGGACCCATGAGATGGGAGTCAGCAGTGCCAACCATCATGCAAAATTAATCAAATAGTCATAATATTATTGGTTTGGTTATTACTATACTGTATATTTTCCACAAATGGAATGGATTAATGGATTAACAGGTCTTTATTTGGAAAACCCACAGATGTCGATTGTGTACTTACGATATGCTGGCAGGGATGCTGTCTTTACCACTGGAACAGAGAGCGTGGGGTGGCGAATGACACATGAGATTTCCTCCCCTTCATGCAGGTAAGGGAGAAACCGGTACCTGCTGGTAACTGTCTTCGTGTTGTCGTCCTTTTCAGTGGTGTTTCTGATGTCTCCAGAGCTGTTGCCTTGCAGCACCCATGTAATATTTGCGGCCGGTCTGCCTGCAGCTGCCGTGCATTTCACTTCTTTGTATTCAATTCCGTTTTCACGAACGTTGTGAGTTTCAATAGTCATGTTGGGGACAGCTTTGGGAAAAAGACCATGGTCGAATACATTTATTGGTTAAGAACAAACTTAAGAAATGAAGTGTCAGAAATTGTGGGCATTTTTTGAAAGTTACCTGAGATTCAGCTTAGGCTTTCTAAACAACTAATACTCTTCATGTAAAGTCTTGCATTTGTGTCTCTCACTGCATTTCCTTTTCATTTAGGACCCCCATCTCCGTGTTCTTAAACTGGTCCGAAGTCCTCTTTGACAGAGTAGTTTGTTATTAACTTTAAAGATACTTAATAACAAATTTTGTTTTTTGGATTTGTAGGTCACAGAAGGATATTGGTTTCACATTCTGTCATTCAAGTCACTGAGGTGACCCTAGGAAAGTCTCTGCAGGAGGTGCAAAAACTCTAGTCAGACCTCATCCTATTGACAGAGATGCACTACCGAGAGGGTAACCAGTTATCTGAGAGTTTGGTCATTAAAGAGGGCTTGTGGGCAGGGTATCTTTTTCTCCACTGGGGATTAATGACATGCTACATAGGAACAAAGTTTAATACAAGGTTTATTCCATGCTGAAAACTGAAGAAAAGACAATATTTTGTCTGTGGAACCTTCTTCAGGCTTCTTCTTCTGAATTCTGACAATCTCCAATATTGTTAATTTTCGATTATGTTGAGCTAAGCTACTGTAGTTTTCCTGGTCAGGGAACCAAGTGAAAAAAATGTAGCAGTGTCTTTCTACTTATTCATGTCATGCAGTAGCTAATACTTTACTGCTCACTAGTTAAAATCAATCACAGGGGAGCTGGGTATGAAAACTGGCTAAATCTCACAGACACAGCATTTGGTTTTCTAATAATAATAATAATAATAATAATAATAATAATAATAATAATAATTATTATTATTATAAACTTTATTTTATATAGCGCCTTTAAAGGTGGCTTCTCAAAGTGCTTTAAGAACTACAACTCCCATAAGACCCATGGGGCAACTTCCTGATGGCTTCTACTGTACGTCATGTGTTCCAATGCTGCCTGGCTGTGGGTGCAAGTTCCTCCCAGTATTGACTGCTTCACAGCTGGTAGTCTATTGTCACAGGCACAAACAGGAGGTATTCACATGGGATCATTTTTTTAAAGTTTATTTTCTAAAGAAATAAATAAAAACCTTGGGAGGGTTTCCAGAGGTATTCATGGGTCAGGAGTACTGCAAGCTGGTAGCAGGGATTTAACTATTCATCTGTGCAAGGACAGTGCTCCTGACTCCTGTGCCCCATCTCATCACGTAGTTACAAATTATTGTACATACACACCTGTATGATCTCATTTTCAGATGCTGTGTTCACCACATGAAAATGCTTGCCTTGCTCTGGAGCAAACTGAGCCTTTTCTCTTGTTATTTTTTTACAATGTGGATGACAACATGCTTTAAGAATACAGGAAGACACATTTGATATAATTTTTGAAACTTTAAAATCAAAATGCTGAAATAATGCATTGATTTGATTGTTTCTGGACTCCTCATATGTACTGTATACATTGTTTATGTTGTTCATACTGTATACTGTTGTATATACAGTACTGTATACTGTAGATATTTGTTTGCTTAGACAGAATGATATGAATATGTTTGTGATTTGTGGTTAAATGTATGTGCTTTACTAAACAAATAAAGATACCATTTGTTATTTAGACCTGTAAAAAGATAAAAACATGCTTTTTGAAACAAATATTGAGTGCAGCTGTGTTTGCAATTAAGGTTAAGTTTCTGGTGCTTGGACATGTTGAAAAGTAAAGATCTGTTTTAATGCTTTTGTTCAGAATTGACATAAACACATTACATTTTCTTGCTTGTGTCCTAATGCTGCCTAGAAGGCCAAAATGAGATTGGTTATTTTGTATCTTGGCTTTGTACAATAATGCCTAAGGAGCTATTTTCCTACAGATTTATTTTTTTCATGCTTATACAGTAGCTTATCTTATCTTATAGCTCCAGATTACAGCTTTCAGCCTTGTTCAGTTCTGCAGGTAGGCACTTAAAATAATACTTACCATAGGTGTACACGTTTGTTTTCATCTTCACAACCTCGGCAAAAGCTGGGTGTTCCACCATGCAACTCACAAACTCCTCCTTTTGCAGATAGGTGGGAAACTTGTACACACTGGTCTGGGTCACAGTGCCATTTGGGTGTGTCACTGTGGTGGAGGTGATGGAAGTGACATTGCTAGGGGCATCACCAGATATCATCCAGGAGATGCTGGCTGCTGGTTTGGAATTGGAGGCCGAACACATGACTGACTGATAATCCAATCCCTCGTCCTCTTGTCCCATGGACACAATGCTGAGTTCTGGTCGAACTTTTAAGAGATAAAGAGTTTTGTCATTCAGTTGCCATTACTTACAATCTTTTGCTCTTTCACAATCAGTTCTTGACTGAGCTCTCATTGTGGACACACAAATCGATTTGCTCCACTTTTTTTGACTCTTGTAAAAAAATATTTTGAACAAATATTTCTTAAGTATATGTTGTCTTATGTTACATTTGACAGTTTTCAAGAAAACTGGAAGCCAATGTAGTTTACAAACCTGGTGAAGCTTTGAAAAATACTCCCTGAAAAAAAATACTAGTAAAGTTAGAGCTGATGAACATACAATATGTCTTTATTTGTATTTATGTAACATTAGAACTATTTTTAATCAAAGTGCTTGTTTCTGCTTAGAAAATGCAGAAACAAGTGTTTATTTTTACTTTGTAATGCTTTTCATATCTTTTTTATGTTAACAGGTTTTAAATACAGCAACTTTCACCAAACTGCTTTTCAATCTCTTTATGGATGTTGAATCTGGGACTGTCCCTCACTCAGCTGCTTTCACTGTCACAATGGCACTTCAGAAATGGCAGGTATCCTTCCTTACCAAACATAGGTTCTTTGTGTAACATTAGCTTCATAGTTTACACAAAATGATGCATGCACATTGACTAAAAAAGGTAAATTAGTAAATAGTATTTTGGGTTTTTTTTCCAGATCAATTTTTCAAGCACCTCTGTCCCTTCTGGGAACTGATCACAGTAAACATGGATATTTGTAATTGCAAAGCCGCTCCTCAAGCAATGAGGTATTAAATTCCCCTTCAAGGAGATCAAGACATGAAAGTGAAAGAAAGCTCAAACAAGCAAAGATTTCATTTTCTGAAATCACATAGGGGCCTATTTCAGTTATGAACTTGTCATTTGGATGGATGTGGAGGAGTTTTTTAAAGATCTCACTTTCTTCTGACCTTATTCACTCATCATGGCTTTTCTGATTATACAGGTTGATCTTTTCAAGACCCGTATTGTAACTTCATTCGTCAGTTTAAGAATGTAATTAAAACACACTAAAGGCAAACTTTAAATGTAAGCATATCTAAGGACCACGTGCTTAACAGCATTTATTTTTAATAGTAAATAAGGATGGGGACTTCAGAGAAGAGGAGGATATTGTAAGCTACTGCACAAAGAATAACTGTAAGCAGGCTAAAAGGTTAAGTCTGTATTGAATAAATAAATGAGAATTAAAAGAGAAAAATCTAAAACTCCCAAGTTAGGAAACTCTTCTCCCCATGTGAGTTCAGAACAAATTTGTCTGGATTGATTTACAGATACTTCAGTGTGGACTCACAGGGCTGAGAGACTCCAGCTTGACTATGAGAGGACGTTCTTGGGAGCTCTGTTGAGAGTGTGGCAAGGAAGCCCTCAGGATGTTGATGTAAGTGGCAGAAGAGGATTCACTCAGCACACAAAGCACTGGAAATACTAATATAAACATGACATGTGAAGTAGGCCATTAACTCTCTCTCTTGGCAGTTTACAAGCTTCATAAGCTATGACCATGGAAATTCGGTTCTTGACAGGTCACCCTTATTGATCTATTTAAAAAGACCTGATATATAAGGAAATCAATTCAGAAAAGCCATTGTTAATGTAAGAGTGGTGGTAAACCTCGCTTACTATAAAACATGTTGAATGTCTTTCTCCAGAACCACTCCTTTGTAGATGGATACAGCAAAATTCAGAGTTCATTTTCTACATGAAATACATCACCAATGTGAAAGTGCTGCTGAAATACATAGATTTGGTTACTTTGTATTTGAGGCTTGTCTCTTAGCACATGGAATTGACAAAAGAGGTTTGAATACAGCTCTAAAGTAAATGAGTATCTGTAATGAAGAAACTGATGGGTCATTGAACCTGCTATCAAAGTTGCTTGTCACAAAGCAAGAGCACAATTTACAAGCCATAAATATTAAAGATGCATTTTACAGCCCTATGCTTCACTGAACTGATAGGTGCCTAATTCGGGCCTAATGCAATGCTAAGCATAATTTGCGAGCAAAGGTTTGTTTTTGAGAATTATTTTAAAATCTGTCAATTCCATTCTCTCTAGAATAACGTTCTCGCAGCAATTTAGTAAAAGCACAGAGAAAATGAAAAACTGTTATTACATCAAACTGTTTTATTTTAATGAGTGCATCACTTGTTGTCTAGACTTACTGTCTAGGAGCTGAAAAAAGACAGACATCAGCATTACAGTAGTATAAGCCTGACTGAGTTACTCTTTTGAAGCAAATGAAAAGCTGTATATCACTGAGCAAACAGTGTGATGAAGTGGAACCTGGACAACAAGAGATTTCGACACGTTGCAGTACTGCAATGGGGTTTAACTGTTTGAGGGATTTTAGCTTTCAACCAGAAAATTTTAGAAAACAACAGGATCTTTAAACTTCCTCTACAATATGAGTTTTTTGCAGAACATGTTTGCCCAGTGCATGTGGTTATGGTGGGGGGCACATCTGCTGCCTGAAAAGACACCACATCCTGCCACCAGGTGTGAAGCTGTCTGAAGAAGCAAAATTACTACTGATTCTCATACTGTCTGTTAGCTTTCCTTTATGGAACATAGATAAAGGGTTTTCTTCTAAACTGATTTTTGCACTTATTTCATTTTTCAAAATAAGGGGCGAACATAGTTTGCTATCTTCACTAATCTTGTTACTTTTGATCTTCATTTCCTAACAAATGGAAACTGTGAAAGTGTAAATTACCTTATATATCTTTCACGAGGCTAATATAGGCTAATTAGGAGTATTTCAGTTTTCAAAGAGCTCTAATATAGTGTATCTACTATGGCGGGTCTTTTTTGAATACTGTAGCAGTCACAATCTCTGGTCACTAGAAATACAACACTCAGACTTTGGGTCTGTAGATACTGCATTTGTCATGTACTGTGTACTTTAGGTTATGTACTACTACAGGTATGTAGGTTATTAAAGAGTATGTACATGTATTGTAGAGGTTGTGATCTGGAGAAGATGACATGAGGAATGGTATAGATTATACACTGTACATGATAGTAACTGTTGTTTGGGAATTTCAGTGATGTCCGACAAGAAAGTGCAGTGTATTTTATATGAGCCTGTACTATATAGATATTATAAATGTTCTCAAGACACTGTATATAGTTGGAGGTTCAGAGAACACTCCTCACTCCTTTGCCACCACCTTCAAAAGAATCTATAAGGAATGTCTTTGCATGGGCTGTTGGTAGAGTAGCAGTCTAATCAACGTGATCTATTAACTCTGCATGTATGTCAGTGTTAGACACTGACTAAGACTGTTAGCTATCCAGCAATTGTTGTTGAAGACGATAACATAAATTCCTAACAAGCTAGATAGACCAAACTACTTCCTCTTATTTGTAACCATAAAAGCTTTTAGTTCTCAGGTCAAAGGAACAGCTTGCACATCCTGTTAGTTACTGGAAGCACAGCAGGCAGCCCCAGTCATTCGCAGTTGGTCACTATACAGCTGCAGTCAGTGTTAAGATTAGAAAAGCTTAAGGTTCAAGATGGACTAAGACTACAGCAGCACATGGTTTGGCTGACACATACAGTATCCCTGATCTGTGTGTCCTCGGACTTGATTGTGGAAGATGAGGTCTCAGATGGATTTGGAAGCAGAGAGGCCATGTCTGGGGAAACACATAACCTACCAGCCCAACAAGTCTTGACTTTGACAGCCTAAATCAGTGTACTACCTTCAGCTGATGGGACAGAATGACGTGAACGAGCAGACGTCTGTACAGATGTTTCCTGGGGATTTTAGTAGGAACAGTGCCCAGAGGCACTGACTTGTGCTTTCATTGGTAAACACTAAGGCAGTAAAAACATTGACTTCACGTTGGGATACACTACTACTACAGTGCGCTATACTGCCACTGGCTGAGGAGGAAGTCTTCCCAAATCCCAGCTGCTCCTGGTGGCCTCTCCAACAGCTGCCAATTACTGTTGTTTGGGGTTTTCAATGATGCCTGACAAGAATGTGCAGGAATTAGACAGGACAAATGTAGTGGTCACACCAAGGCCAGGACTCAAGCCATACTGCAATTCTGGGTCAGGGAATGATATACTGTCTACGTTGTGACAGTAAAACAATACTAGGAGTCTTAAAATCTGTTTTCTGCCAGAAGGCACTGCATACAGTATGTCAGGTTTGCCACCACTCCAATGAGGATGCTTAAACGTTGCTGGCTGTTTGAACATTGCTTTTTCCTCTTATTCTACACTGCTTTTGTATCTAGGGAAGTACTGCCAGCTCTTTTTGTACCTGCAACATCTTCAGAACGTCATGAAGCAAACTATCTTTAAATATGTCCCCTGTAGAGATGTCCCTAGATCTCAGAAGAACTCAGGGGCTGATTTTCTCTTGTTCTGGAAAACCAACCAGAGTGCAACTAGGGGCAGAAGTATTCACCAACTTTTAGAAACAGCAAATAACTGAAGGAGCTGTTCTACTTCTGGAACAAAGAACCAAATGAGAAGAGCCTGCAACAAGTGCAAAACCAAACCACCGTCAAGCCGTGTGCGTTAACTAAAAATTAAGATTTAATTTCACAGTTCTGTGATCATTAACGGTTTTCACACATTCCAAATGCCAGGACAAGTGAATATAGTATGTTTCATCTGCAATATGTCACCTGTGGTTTTCTCCAAATGTTTTTGCTTCTCATTTAGTATTAGTCATATATAAATGTTGTGATAGAATCTACTGAAGTGATATTCTAAATTATTGTTACGAATGTTTCATAGAAGAATCTTGGAAGAGTTCTCCAATATCAGGAAGATAGCAGGAGGAAGTAGGGTTGTGCCAACACTGAGCACACCAGGTTTAAAAAAAAAACAATTTCCAGAATTATTTTCAAAGCTTTCCTCTCAGAAAGAAGGTGGTTCTGCTTTAACCATCTTCATATAAAATAAGGTATCCTGTGGTCACTCTGCAGAACAATTTTACTGCTTCTGGATCACTCAATATAAGAAAAACATGCCATGTGTCTTTCCTTATTCCATTTGACTTTTGGTAAAATAAAATTTACTAATGAGTAATTGCAAATGATTTTGATTTTTGAAGATCTACAATCTGACATTGAAGATAACATTGAAAGGTGTCAATAAAAAGTTTAATGAGGCTTCTACAGAGGTTTGAGTGTCAGCTGTGTCAGATAGAAGCAATCGAACAGTCTAACTGCCGGAATGGTTAAATTATGTTCTTACCCAAAACAGTGAGGTAAATAGTTTTTGCCAGGTCTTCGTCCTCAGTTTGGAAGACACATGTAAACTCCTTTTCATCTTCCAGGCTGGTGATGTTGAGAAGGATGGTGAGGTTATCTGCAGAAGATGGAGGGCTAAAGTCCTCGGTGTTTTTAAGGAGATTACCATTGACAAACCGAAATATTTTTTTTTTCTTGTTGGCATCATAGCGAGTCTGCCAGTAGGATCCATCCAATTTCACAGTCCCTTTGTACTCACACTGGAGCACAGCTTGCTCACCCAAGACACCTGTGATATTCTTCTGAAATAAGACGTGCCCATTGTCAGCTGGAGAAAGAGAACAGTTGCCAATCAGTTATTTTGTGCATTTTATATTGTACCTTCTTATTAGTGAGAACTTGTTATGGTCACATGGCAGTCAAAGTACAGTGAATATGCAGTACAACAGAAAATTCCCCCAAATTTGTAATAAATCTATTAATTATAAAGTATTTTTACTAATTGCAAATTATTTTTAAATTTCAAGCAAGAAAAAGCTGGAGCATGTCAAAAATGTCAAGCAAAGGTTTCATACATAAAACATGTCTTACAAGAATAGCACTCCACAATTAAGATAGGGTTCAAGAACAGTGTCACTGAATGGAGTGTCACTCCATAAAATATTCATTCACAGCAGATAAAATGAAATAGCAGACTTTTACTTTATGGCTTTTTGCCACAGATTGTTTCCTGTACTATTAAAAACCTTAAAAAGTTTCCAACGATGCTATTTGGCTCATATTGCTTCTAGTTACCCAATCCCAGAATTGTGATAACAGATTTTGTTATGGCATTTCAGGAAATTGGCACCAACATTTTAGCTGGATGTGTTGTTCCAAACAGTCATGGCTCTTTGTGTAAAAAAGTGCCCTTGTGTTCAGTTTTTAAGGCACCAGCATAAACATTCCATTCTTGATCTCAGGTTTTTATTTCTTAAGCTTGAAGCAGAGAGCAGAATAGATCTAGCAGGTGCCCGCCTGAACCCCCGTTGCGTTACAATATATAGATTTTTTGCAAAAGATTTAAAAAATTATATTGTAGCAGCCACCATTTCCTCGGTGGATGTTTGGAAGGAGACACACGGGGACCAAGGTGGCAGTTCTTTCCAGGGGAGAGTACTGCACGTAACCTTAGTAACAGGGTATTCAGACAGTGCAGGCAAACATGTAGTGAGAAGTATCTGGCCAGAAGTTCCCTAACAACTAAGGGAAGATTCCTGAATCTTTTTGGGGGTTCTTAGGCCCAAATCTAAACCAATTAGAAATCTTCAGAGTTCTGAAGATTTTAGTGAATCCTGACAGTTTCTGATCCAGAGAAAACCCTAAACCTAAAATTAACAGAAATATATTATTTCTCTGTCTGACTAGGAGACACTGAATATATTCTAATCACAGTGGGAATAAAATATGATCTTAAAAATAGAAAATACAATTGAAATTGTTTAGTGAAGAAGAGGGGACCATCTGGACTCAGGGTCCCACGTTCCACAGTCCTTTGGTTGGCCAGTCAGACTAATGCTCTCCTTCCTTCTCTCTTTGTGTTGCAAGCTGATGACAGAATGCAGATGTTGACCAACACTGGAAGCTCTGCTTCCTAGTGCTTAAATGTCACCAAATCACCTGTTGACATTTGATTGGTCAGGTGACAGAGGATGGCCATAGCTGTCTGGAAAAAAGTGATTCAGACCAGAACCTCCATCTTGTCTCCACTTACTGCCCTTAATCTCACCCCAAATGTCTGATATCAATTTTTTGATTTGTTGGGTTTGTTGGGAATATTCAGCAAGAATTTATCAACTAAAATATGCATTATGGGATGATATATGTAAGTTGTCAGAACTATTTTTAGTATTATCCTTTCATCCATTTATTTTCAATCTGCTTATCCTGGTGGAGGCTCCAGAAACATCATGTTGACTCGATAGGATGAGACATCTTTTTCCTCTGCTCTGGGCCTCTCAAGTGTTCTCAGGCCAACAAAGAGATATAGTCTCTGTATGTGTCTTGAGCTGGCCTTGAGTATTTGTCTTGGGGAACATGTCCATGCCCAGTATAGCGTCAACACCAACCTCTTAGGAAGCATCCTTACTGGGTGCCTGAAACACCTCATCTGGCTCATCTTGATCTAGAAAGCCAGTGCCTCAGCTCTTTGTTTCCTACATACTGTAGCAAAGTTTTTCACCCTGTCACAGAGAGTAAGCACAACAGACCCACGAAGAATCCTCATTTCCTCTACATGGTTATGTCTTTTTGGCCATTTCCCACTGCATTACCCACTATCATTAAGGATGGGGGCATAGATCATGAGACCTTCACTTAGGAGCTTATTTTGATTTTATAATCTCAGACTGGCACAGGTCTGCAACATTGGTGACACTGCACCAATCTCTTGAGTAACACTTGAAAAACACTCCAGGGTACTTCTGTACTTCTTATCTTGGGGACGGCAAATCCTTTTTTATCCTGGCAAGAACTATGACATCAGGATTGAAGAGAGA